GACTCTCGAAAGACCCTGAGAATTCGCAAGCTGGACAAGCAGGAATGCCCAGAGCTTTGATCAATCAGAGCAGCAGCCGGTACCTCTGCCTGGTCTGGAGAGGGAGGAATTAAGGGTCTTGATCACCTTCTACTCCAGTGACCATGTTTCTACTTTGCAACGGAAGCCAGGTTGGATGGCTGGTGTAGCACACACAGAGTTGGAATCCTGGAAACCAGATCAGCAGGGCAGATAAGAAGTTGTGGGGTCAGCCAGACCTAGGTTCAAATACCAGCACTACCAGGTTTTAGTTGAAACGCTTTGGGTAAGTCATTTCACTTCTTCAAACCTCCAGTACTTCCTCGTAAAAGCAGCATAATAAAATATTTCCCTTGTAGAGTTATGTTGAAGATTTAAAAAATGAAATAGGTCATTATGCTTGTCACATAGTAAGTACTTGATAACTGGCCCTAATTCCTCCCTACGTGAGTGTCAACATTTATAGATGTTTTTGTTGTTAAGTATCTGGGGGACCTAGACTTCTCTGTCACATGCATTATCCTATTTAATTTTTGTTCCTGTTTCCTTCTCTTTCGTTATGTAACATTTTAAAAACCACATGTTCATTCAGCTGTTTCTCATCAGCTTCGTTCTGTTCCCAAATAAACATATTCACATAAAATAAAACAATTTTAATGAAAAGAGAATTTTTTTCCTTAAAAATTTTTCTGATGATGAAATGTATGTAAATGATGAAAATGAATTCTATTTAATTTTTTGTGGAATATTTTTCACCAGAAAAGTGTTTGCTGAAGGAACAAGCTACACAGGCGATGTAATCCTCCTTTCCTTGTTATAATAATAAGTGTTTACCATGTCACACCACATTTAACCCCCATCACCTCCTGACAAAGTAGGTACCATTTGGGTCCCAGCTTTATTCTGTTTAACTATTTTATTGAACTATAACATATTACTCAGAAAAGTGCACATCATAAATTTACAGGTTGGTGACTTTTCACAAGGTGAACATAACCTGTATAACCAGCACCCACATCGGGGGTCCCCACACGTTCCCCCCAAGGCCTAATGACTCTCCCGACGAGATTGATCTAGCCTGTATTGAACTTTATATAACTGGGATCACACAGAATTGCAATAGACAGAATAATGACCCCTCAAAGATGTCCACATCCCAATCCCCAGAATCTCTGAACATGTCACCTTGCCTGGCAAAAGGGACTTTGGAGATATGATTGAGGACTGGGAGATGGGGAGACTATCCTGGATTTGGACCCATGTTTTAAAGATGTGGCCCAGATTGGTTAAGTCTAAGGCCAGTTGTCACACACCAGTGATGAGGCTGGGATTTAAACCCAGGCAGTATCTAAAATCTACATTTTGAGCACTGTTCCAGGTGAGGAAACCGAGGTTCTATGAGACAAAGTGCTTATCTGTGATCACCGAGGCCAAAGGGCAGAGCTGGGCTTTAGCCTGAACCTCTGCCTCCTGACTGCGTGGTCCATCATGTCTGAGCTAACATGCCGTGGGCACTTCCAGCCTGGATCCGTGGCGCTGGAACCTTCTCCTGATGACAGGCTCCTCCCAGTCCGCCACTGTTGTGACAGCCCCAGGACAACAGCTGCATGAGCCACTTACCGGGGAGGCTGAGTGGATTCCCAGGTGTCACTCTCTGTCCCCAGCCCTTTAGGGGAAAGAAAATGCCACCAGACACCTGGTGCTCTCTGAGGAAGGCTGTGGTCTCTAGGCCCCTCCACACCAGCTTCAGATAGCACTGACCACCTGGAAGGAAATGTCAGGTGGACTTTTTGCATGGCACGTTGACTGTGGAAGAGCTTAACAGAGAGATGGAGCTGAACATTGTGGCTGCCTGGGAAGATTCTCCCTGGAGCCAAAGGGATATCAACGGTCCCATCTTCCAGAGGAGCAGTGAGCTGACCGCACGGCTGAATGCAAAGCCAGGGTCCCCGAGACCAAACAGGATTCATAGACCATGTGGACTCAAAGGAATATTTTACGAAGTCCCTAATTCTTAAGATAAGAAACTTACCACCTAGAGTAATACTGACCAGTCTTTATTACGCACCTGCTAAGCACTAGGCAGTATGCTAGGTGCTTCTGCATTGTTTTCTGTATAATCCTCACTAGTCTAGAGACATGGACCATTATTAGGCCCCCTTTACTGAAGAAGAATGAAGGTTGAGAAGACTTGCTTATGGCCACACAGCTGGAATTGGGAACCAGCACTTTCTGACTCCAAAGGTAGAGTGCAAATAGGTAGGGTTTATACCCTCTAGAGAAGGAAAGTTTCTTGTCCCAGTTATACTCCAAGCCATGACATCTAAGACCTTCCAGCATTCTAACTCCAGATTTATCTTACATATCATGAAGTCTACTTTGCAACTAATAATAGACACAAATAGAGGATGAGTCACAGGCCCAGAATTAACAGTATATTAGTTACAAACATGGAGGCAGAGGACAATTCATTGCCCATCAGGCTCATTTCTCCCTCTCTCTCTTGATTCAGATGTAAAGTCTAATAGTCTAAAGAAGTCCCACTCCCTTGCCAGAGACTGGTCTGGGAAAAAGACATGGGACCTAGCTTCTGACCAGTGGCTTCTGGGAAGTGTTTCCTTGCACTTAAAGCAACATAATTAAGAGCAGGCTTCTCAACTTCCCTGGATGTTGTGTCTGCATATGCCACCCGGAACCACAGCAGCCACTTTGTGACCTTGAGAGGAGCTGACATGAGGGTAAATTCCATGAACTCAGAGATGGAAGGAATCCAAGTCAGATGACATCATTGAAATGCTGACTAACCACAGAACTAAATGACCTCCAGACTACCTGTTATGAACTTTATGAAAGTCTTTCTTAAATATATTGAATCATGGTTTTCTATTACTTGCAACCAGAAGCCCCCTCCCTAATACAATGAACTTTAATTCTGGTGTTAGACTGCATGGGTTCTAACCTTCATTCCACCAACCATTAGCCATGTGACCTTGGGCAAGTCTCTTGACCATTCTGACCTTGGTTTTCCTCTTCTGTAGAATATGGTAGGTGATAAAAATTTAGGACCAGTGGGAGGCTACAATAGGAGGATGAAAATCAAAGCATTTTGCAAATGGAAAAGCCCGAGGTATTGCTGGATATTATTGTTGATGTTATAGATTCAGCAGGACCAGGAGAAGCCTGAGGCATCCTGGGGGGCTCAGAGCCTGCTCTTGTTCCTGGGGATGGACTCTAGGAAGGGAGCAGCTGCAGCTGCTCAGATAAGAGCACATTTGCATTCTCCCAGCCTCCCTGCCCAGAGCTCTGCAGACTGAGCCAGACAAACAGCCTTTCTTGGGGGCACAGGGCCAGCAGCATGCATCTGATAGAGGCAAGGATGCTGAGGCGGGGGCAGAGAGAGGGCTGCACCCCAGCCATGTAAGTCCACCAGGGAAGGTCATGCACTAGTAACTGTGTAATAGTTCAACTATCACTTCCCGACAGCCTACTAGGTGTCCAGATTCTTTGTTTTTAGCATCTCCTTCAACCCTGGCAATAACTCTATGAATAGAAGTAGCTTTATTCCTATTTTATGGATGAGAGACCCAACGTTCAGAGAGGTTAACAAACACGTCCAAGTTTACACAGTCAGGCGTGGAAGAGCCAGGTCTGTCTGACTCCAAAGCCATGCTCTTAATCACTATGCTGTAGCCAAGAATATTAAATGCCCCTCAAGCAGCAAGGAAAGAAGAAAGCAAGAGCAGCCCTGGAAAGAGTGGAGCACTGTGTTTACTGACCTCCTTGCCTTCCTGGAGCTCACTGCCCAGCCTATGACTGAAGCATTGAGACTCCAACTCTTCCTGCCTTTTGCTTTTAACATCCTGGCCTCTCTCAAAACTTTAATTTTCTTGTGTCAGCTCTCCTAAGAGTCCCCAAGGGAGACAACGCTGCTCTGAAAACGGCTCCAGAAAAGTGGAGAATGTATCTTTCACGTAGGGTCTGGGGGCCCAACAGAGCAAGTGAAGGGGGAGCATTTGGGATTGGACTGGTTATTCTCTGTGACACTCCCCCAACCAGATCCACTCTCTGCCGTGCTCTGCACTGCCCCAGGTCCCAGGAGGCTGGCCTGTATGGATGGTATCAACAGGCTCCCTTGTCCTGTGGCTTCCCAGTGGATTTGACCAACAGGATGTCACAAGAAAAGATTAAAAAGCTGAAAGGGAGTTCTAAGTATTTCTCCCTCCAACCCTACCATGATTCCCCCTAGCCTCAGTGCTGCAACTCCAGCTGTGGCAAAGTCCTTTTTTTTTTTTTTTAAACAGAGTTTTGCTCTGTCACCCAGGCTGGAGTGCAGTGGTGTGATCTCGGCTCACTGTAGCCTCCGCCTCCTGTGTTCGAGATTCTCCTGCCTCAGTCTCTCAAGTAGCTGGGGTTACAGCTGTGGATCACCACGCTCAGCTAATTTTTATATTTTTAGTAGAGACGGGGTTTCACCGTGTTGGCCAGGCTGGTCTCAAACTCGTGACCTCAAGTGATCTGCCTGTCTCAGCCTCCCAAAGTGCTGGGATTACAGGTGTGAGTCACTGCTCCCAGCCAGCTGTGGCTAAGTCCTTCTTGACTACAGCTCCTGCTGGCTCCCTCCCTGGTTCTACCTGTCACCAAGTTTTGGTAGGCCCACTCCTCTCTGCATATTTAAGCCTAGGGGTGGTAACAGTTCCCAACTATTGCTAGTATCTTGGTGCCTCAACATCTCTCATTGGTTCTTCCAACCTTGCCTGCTCCTCTGTGAGTAGCACATTCATTAAATTTTCTCTAAACTCCCATCTTTCTCTTTCCTCGTAGGGCCCTGAGTATGAGGAGATGGGATAGAGAGTGGGTGGCAGTTTGTAATATGTCCTTAAGGAGTTGGACTCTCACTGCTCAGTTAATCAGGTATTAATAAATTTGCCAGTGGGAGGAGCTTTAAGAAAATTGCAGTGATTGGTTCTACTCTTTGTGATGTCATCAGAGGAGGGCGGAGATTTGTGGTTAGGGCAGTCCTCCACTTCCAGAGATCCAGGCTCCAGAAATAGAGAACTTTCAAGCTTCAGGATTTCAGAAGACAAATTCCATCTGGCTTAGTCTGCCTGGCTCACAGTAAGCTTTAGAGTGGTGAAGAATAGAAAGTCTATGGTGGCAAGATGATATGTAGCTCTCACACACAATAGCTCCCTCTTTTCCACTATAGGGCACCTTTCAAATTTACAAGGCATTTTCTCATGAATTTGTACGTTTGAGCCTCATAACAATCCTCTGAGACAGATTAAGGCTACTTACTTCCATTTTACAGATGTGAAAATTAAAAATGAGAGAAGGGAAGGGACACATCTAAAAATCACATAACACCAACGGGTCTCAACCTCCAGCCATGGTGATCTTGAGTCTGGGGCTCTTTTGAACACACCTCACATTTATAGCTGGCTGATGAAATATCTGCTTCAGTAGCCGCAGGATCACTTGTCAACCCTAAGAAGGCTGTCCTTCCCTCAGACTCAAAAAATAAATAAATGAATAAAAACTAGCATTTGTTCATTGAAAATCTATTAAGTACAACACATTGGGCAAAGTACTTTGTATACACTTTATCCCTTTTAATCCTCAATAATGCTGTGAGGTAGTTATAATTATCCCATTTTAATGAAAAGGAAACTGAGGCTCAGAGAGGTGAAGTGATTTTCCCAAAGTCACAAAGATATAAATGATAGACTCAGGATTTGAAATAAGTCCATCTTATGCCTCCTGTGCTCAACCATTGCACGAAACCTCCTCCTAAGAGGAAGCATTGTCATGATGGATGAAAGCCATGTCCTTCTCCTCTGCCAATGCCTGGAGCTATGTTTGCAAATGGAGTGAGCTGCACGTTGAAACCTAATTATTCTACAGGCAGCACCCATAACAAGGCAACCCCTCTCCTGGCAGCTTGTCTTCACTTCTTTGCTCCCACACAATATTGCCAGAGGCTCAGGGGCATGAGAGTCAAGTTTCCATGGATGGAATGGATGAAACCTCAGTCATCTGCAGCATTTCATATTTTTGGATGTGTTTGAACATCTATTGGGTCACTTCATCCTTGCAGTAAACCTGTTGAGCACATAGGACAAATATTTCCACACCCCATCTTTCTTTAGAGAAAATTAAGCGAAGAGACCTTATCCAAGGTCACACAGCTGGTATAGGTAAAGCCAGGATTTCAACCTACATAGATTGTGTTCCAAATCTTTGGTCACTCTACTACCCTGTGCTTGTCATCTTGAAATAAGAATCTGAGAGGTAACATGACTTTCCCAAGGTCACACAGCAAGACATAGTTACCAGAATGAAACTCAACCAACATACCTGTGTAGCCTAGCCACTCCCACCGTTCCACATTGTCTCCTCTTTACCTCCTTCTCCATTCCTAGAAATTCTCCCCTCTTGGTGATTTCCCACTTCAAGTTCTCCCTCTAGAGGTAGTTCAAACTAAGAGACGCCTCTCACCCCATGACCTCCTTGAGAAAAAATACAGAAAGAGAAGGGGAGGGAAGCCATTGCAGGCAATGCTTGTGTGAGTTGGCGATGGCACTGTTTCTCAAACTCTTGGCAGCATCTGCCTGCTGTCTGCCTGCAGGAAGGAGGTGGAACAGCTGTGCACACATCTGCCAGAGGAACTCTTTAAAGAGCACAGAGGATGCTATTTCCTACCAGCAGTAGCAGCAGCAGGGCAAACGCTTGAGGCTCATTTTGGGTTCATTCTCTCTCTGACTAAGGTTCATGTCTTCAGAACAGCTGTTCACACAGAGTGGAGTAAGGCTGTCAAGCAAGGAGACCTCTGAAGCAATCTCAAAAGCCCCCTGGTCAAATTCATGTGAACTGACTATTCACAGAGGTTGCTTACAAACAGAATATAATAACTAAGACTCACTGTGTATGCCAGATGTATAACTTAGAACAGCTATCACATGTGTATGTGTATACTTACTATATATATATCTACTATATATACAATATAGATATCTACTGTAGATTATATAATATATATACATATACGTGTGTGTGTGTGTATATATATACACATATATGTTAATAAAACTCTACATCATGGCTACTATTATGATCATCCCCATGTTTCAGAGGGGAAAGCTGGGGCAGAGTCAGGCTAAATACCGTGCCAAAGGTTACACAGCTTCGTTTTGGTGGAGCCAGAATTAAAGCCCAGAAAGCCGAGTTCCAGATTCAGTGTCCTTTATCTCTGCACTATATATTGACTTGAGTGATTCTAAAAATGTAGTGTGTATAAGAATTACACTGACACTGTTTAAAATTCAGATTCTTGAGCTCCTGCCCTCTAAATTAGGAGGGATGGGCTAGAGAGCTCAGGGATATGCATTTTAATAAGTTCCCTTGCTTGGCTCTTGTACATATGGTTGATAGACCACTCTTCGAGAAAGACTTACAAAGAAATGTGTTCATTCACATATTTCATAGGGTAAGAACTGTATGTCAGGACCCGGGACAGGCATAGGGGATATGAGGAAAAGTAATTATAATGCCAGCTGTAATTTCCTGAATGCTAATCATGTCCCAGGAACCTTGCTAAATGTCTTGCATTCATTAATGTTTAATTATCACCACAACCCCATAAGGCAGGTGATATTATGACCTCTTCATTACATATAAGAAAACCGAAGTTCACAGAAGTAAAGTGACTTGTCCAAGACCTCACAGCTATCAAGTAGAGAAACTGGGATTTGGATGCAGGTCTGTCTGATTCCAGACACCGTGATCTTAACCATCGAGGCAGAGTTTCTACCTTTTAGGAATTTCCAAATAGAGGGGACAACCTCAGGACCTAAACAATGTGGCAACACAGTCAAAAACACAAAGAGCCAGGGAGTGATGCCCATACTGTGCTGTGAAGGTTAATATCACTTCCTGTCAAAGGACAACCTCAGGGAAGTGGTATTTATTAATATACAGGGTTTTTTAAAAAGAAGGGGTCAGCTCTGAACACAGTAGTGATTGCAATTGGGAAGAAGAGCAGCCAGGAAGAGGATATATCATAAGCAAAAGCACTGGTGTGGGAAAGAACAGGGATTTAGCGGGAAATGTGAACGGTATCACTGCTTGGTGTGAAAATATAGGCAAACCCGAGTAGCTCACTTCCTCTCAAATATTTATTCAGAAGCCACCATCTCAGTGATGCCTCAGCTGACAATCCCACTTACAGATGCATCAAAATTTGCCCTCCTTGTTCCTCTTTTCTGCTCTATTTTTCTCCAAAGCACTTTTCTTTGTTTGTTTGTTTTTTTTTTTTTTTTTTTTTTTTGAGACGGAGTCTCCCTCTGTCGCCCAGGCTGGAGTGCAGTGGCGCGATCTCGGCTCACTGCAAGCTCCGCCTCCCGGGTTCACGCCATTCTCCTGCCTCAGCCTCCCGAGTAGCTGGGACTACAGGCGCCCACAACCGCGCCCGGCTAATTTTTTGTATTTTTAGTAGAGACGGGGTTTCACCGTGGTCTCGATCTCCTGACCTTGTGATTCGCCCGCCTCGGCCTCCCAAAGTGCTGGGATTACAGGCGTGAGCCACCGCGCCCGGCCAAAGCACTTTTCTTTTCTTTTCTTTTCTTTTCTTTTCTTTTCTTTTCTTTTTTTTTTTCTTTGAGACAGAGTCTCGCTCTGTCGCCCAGGCTGAAGTGCAGTGGCCGGATCTCGGCTCACTGCAAGCTCCGCCTCCCGGGTTCACGCCATTCTCCTGCCTCAGCCTCCCGAGTAGCTGGGACTACAGGCGCCCGCCACCTCGCCCGGCTAATTTTTTGTATTTTTAGTAGAGACGGGGTTTCACAGTGTTAGCCAGGATGGTCTCGATCTCCTGACCTCGTGATCCTCCCGTCTCGGCCTCCCAAAGTGCTGGGATTACAGGCGTGAGCCACTGCGCTCGGCCAGCACTTTTCACCTCTAATGGACAATGTACCTTCCCTGCCCGCACCCCCCGCCCCACCCCTCAATTCTTAAAAATCTCCATTCACTAGAACATAAGCTTTAAGAAGGCAGGAATTTTTGTCAGCTTCACTCATTGTTGAATTGCCAGGGTGTATCACAGGATCTGGAGTGTGTTGAGGGGTGATAGGTGCTCAATAAACATTTATCAAAATTTGAATGTAGAGCCAGGTATGGTGGCTAATGCCTGTAATCCCAGCACTTTGGGAGGCCAAGGCGGGCAGTTCAATTGAGGTCAGGAGTTTGAGACCAGCTTAGGCAACACGGCGAAACCTTGTCTCTACAAAAAAACACAAAAATTAGCAGGGTGTGGTGGTGCATGCCTGTGGTTCCAGCAACTGAGGAGGCTGAGGTGGGAGGATTGCTTGAACCTGGGAGGCAGAGGTTGCAGCGAGCTGAGATGGTACCATGCATTCCAGCCTGGGTGACAGAGTGAGACCTTGCTCCCACCCACCCCCAAAAATAATGTAGGAAGCAAGAAGGGGCGAGAGAGAGAGAGAGAGAGAGAGAGAGGGAGGGAGAGAGAGAGAGCACCTTGGACAGAAATCCACTGCCTTTATTCCAGGCAGTTTTATCCCAGGCTGCCCAAGATTGCAATCTCATATAGGACCCTAAATTTCTTCCCTCATTCCTTCCCTCCTTTCCTTCTTTTTTTTTTTTTTTTTTTTTTTTTTTTTTTTTTGAGACATACAATCTTGGCTTACTACAGCCTTAACATCCCGGGTTCAAGCGATCCTCCCACCTCAGCCTCCCGAGTTGCTGGGATTACAGGTATGTACCACCACACCTGGCTAATTTTTGTATTTTTAGCAGAGACAGGGTTTCGCCATGTTGGTCAGGCTGGTCTCGAGCTCCTGAGCTCAAGCGATCCACCCACCTTGGCCTCCCAAAGTGCTGAGGTTACAAGCATGAGCCACTGCGCCCAATCCGTGTCTCCCTTCTTTCCTTCCTTCCCTGCTTTCTCCCTCACTTCCTCCTTCCTTCTTTCCTTCCCTCCCTACCCCATCCCTCCTTCCCTCTTTCCTGCCTTTCCTCCCTCCCTCCTTTTTCCATCCCTCTTTTCCTCCCTCCTTCCTTCTCTCCTTCCTTAATTTTTCTAGCTCTCCACTGATGAGTTTAATGTATATCCAGAATGACATACCACCACATCATATCCAGATGTGGCAGCCCACACAAGCCACCCCAGCTGCAGACGTCAGTAGATTCCAGGGTCCTGGCATTCTGACCACAAGTCTGGGGAGTGCAGATGGTGTTTTCTCATTAAGGCAAGCTTAGGAAGCTCAGCTCAGTCCACTGGAGTGATTCCTAAATCAATCCTCCACCAGAAGACAGCCTTCAGAACTCTTTTCTCCACCAAAACATCTTTGACAAATCCTCTTTTCCTCTATCTTCCTTTCTGATGAGTCCTCAGGGACGCTAACCAGTCTGTTTTGATCCATGTTTATCAGCTTGGGGCTGTCTTCCCTGCCACCATCATCTTCATACTCTCCCCCAAGTTAATTGGAGAAGACGGATGGATGATGGCGCCCCATGTAACTTAATTAAGAT